TTTGTTTCAATTCGTCAGTTGCCACAACACAACTGACCAACGTGTACACAACAAGCTAATACTCCTGCGTGCTGTAGAGCTCGTTCCTGACTCGTGACCAGCGCGCTCTGCTGTCAAGGGCGATCATTGGTTAATGGTCATCATGTGACTGATGCAAGCCAGATCCTGTTATTTAGCAACACTGTGATTAATAGTTAAATGTTACTGTGAGGGGCACAGGCAGGACTCCACACACACACACACACTAAAAATGCCTCTAGAAAAGAGCACTTGTGGCTCCCATCAAGCAGGTACTCAGACAGGTGCCTGATATGAACATTAAATGCTCATTACTCACTGCTCTGCTCTGCTCTGCTACTTTTCTTATCAGCAAGGTCGCATTCTTCTCAGGCAGACACAGATCTCTGCACAATGAAGCCTTGTTCATCACTGCAGACAAAGAAGGCGACGTTTGCAGCGGTCCCAGCTGCTGTCATCAGTGACTCGGAGTGCTCGCCTCCTTTTTTTCCACCTCAGTTGCTCCTCTGTGTTTCCAAGCCAAGAGCTCGAAAAATCCCTCTTTCACACATGCAGAGAAGAGACGCTGCAAGATAAGAGCAGCCTTGACCTGACGTGTTAACCACGGCCACACAAAACAGTATCTGTGAAATATCGTACATTTAACTCCATAAATTATTATTTGTACATAGAAACACAACAGGAAACGTGTTCATTCAAAATGAATAATTCTTTACATGCAAAACTAGAGAAGTGCATTTTAGTTTAAAGGCTCAGATTCAGGCAGAAAACAGGAAGTTGTGCATCAGTTTGGAGGCTTGACTGCAAGTACTCACTGATATTGTTCATTATTTATTATTATTAGTTAAACATGTCAGGGTGAGCCTGTTATCATTATCATTTCTGCCATATATGCACTGTTCAGGACAAACCTGCTTGAAAGAGGCAACCAATCAGGAGAAAGGTGGCTTAAATGCAGAGGATGAAGTGAAGAAGAGTAAGGATTGTTTTGAAGTTGAAAAATAAATTATATGGAGTAGAAAGTGATCTTTTCCTTAAAGGGGAGAAATTGTTTCACTTTGAGGAAAAGCTGAAGAGTCTCCTGTGATCTCACCCTGAGTCAGCACACCTGAATCACATGATTAG